CTTGAAGCTTTTGTGGCAGGTAAATAATAGAATTGAAGTGTTTCGTCACAAGAGGGTTGTTTTCGGGTTAACTAGTAGCCCCTATTTATTGGCAGCTGTGATTTCATTTCATTTGTCCCATGTTTCACCTGAATTCAAAGCTGTTGCGAGAAAACTTGCCAAATCATTTTATGTTGACAATTGTGTCACGTCAGTCGATGATGCCGAAGAGTTAAAAGGTTTTTATGAGCCAGTCGATTAACTATTATGGCAAGAAGCAAAAATGGATCTTCGAATATGGACTTTTAATCAATATGGTGATCAAGAGCTAGCAGCTGACAGATAGTGAGTGATCAAGTCTCCGCAGTTCTAGGCCTCGCAGTGGGACCGACGAGATGACAGCCTGACAATATCCGTCCAAAGAGAAATCGTTAAAAGAGACTTATCAAAAAGGAGACTATTGTGTCTAATCCATGCTGTTTTTGACCCGCTAGGGATTTCTTTGTGCCCGTCATATTACCTGCGAAATTAATTCTTCAAGATGCTTTGGACAACAAAATCGGATTGGGATAAGCCATTACCAGATGAACTTCAAACAAGATTTCCGAGATGGTACGAGAGGTTGTATAGTCTTTCCCGCTTTAAAATTACCTCGTCGCATGGGTTCATGGAAAGAAGGATTCGTGGAACTCTACACGTCTTTGTACGATGCCAGTCAATCCGCTTATGCAATCTGTCATTTACTGAAGAAGTAAGAAAGAAGACAAAGTTTTCGTGGAAATTCGTCAGAGCAAAATCACGCGTATCGCCCTTAAAGAAAATAACTATTCCGCGTTTGGAGTTGCTAGCCTGCGTTCTAGGTGCACGCTTGGCAAGGTATACTGTTGAAACCCTGTGCTTAGTCGATGTCCCAATATACACTGGTGTGCAAAATTTAAGGACGAAGTCGAAAAATTAGCATATCAGCTGAACGAAGAGGCAGAATAGACAGAAAGACCAATCAGGACATTAAGTAAGGTGATGGACGGTAGCACATGCGCAGATATGCAGGTAGACGTAATAGGGGAGTGTCTGAGTAGTATAAAGCATGTTATCGGTGTAAGATCAGTATTTCTGGCAAAGAGATTGCACGCCGTATAACAGTTAAAATCACACCGAGTTGCTGCCTCAGCGAGAAATGGCGAATAATCAATCTGTTAGACGACATCTGGATGCTTTTACCCGAGGTCGAATCATTGGGAAGTTGGAGGAAGGCCGCAGTTTGACAAGTGTGGCTGCAGAGTTCGGAATTGCTCACAGCATCGCTTCACGACTTTGGAGACAATTTCAAACTACAGGAACAGCTATCCGGGGGTTTAGTAGTGGTCGTCCACGAGAAACCACACCCGCAGATGACTGGTATATTGCCTTACAGGCCAGAAGAAACAGGCGGCAGACAGCGGGAGAACGACACAGGCGACAGACACACGACACAGGCGACTGGACGACCGATATCGCGTTTTACCGTGGCCAGAATACTGCACGGTGGTGGTCTGTTTGCACGACGCTCTGTACGGTGTGTACCTCTAACGCCTGCCCATCGGAGAAGGCGTTCTCTGTGGTGCCGGGAACATCAGAATTGGAGAGACAATGAACGGGGACGAGTACTCTTTACAGATGAGAGCAGATTCAATCTGAGTAGCGATTCTCATCGCATACTCATCTGGAGAGAGCGGGGAAGCCGCAATCATCCCTCGAACATCATTGAAAGGGACAGGTATGGTGGTGGCGGTGTTCTCGTTTGGGGAGGCATCATGCTTGGTAGTCGTACAGACCTTCACATCTTCGACGCAGGTTCAGTCAGCGGGACCCGTTATTGTAACGAGATTCTTCTTCCATATGTGCGTCTTTTTAGAGGCGCTCTGGGTTCGCAGTTCCTTTTCATGGACGACAATGCACCATGTCATCTCACAGTAGCTACCGAACAGCTCTTAGAGAGTGAGGATATTGAACGTATGGATTGGCCGGCACGATCTCCGGATCTCAATCCCATCGAGCATGTATGGGATTTTCTAGGCAGACGCTTGGCAGCTCGTACCTTACCACCAGTAACGATTCCGGAGCTTCGATTGGCGCTGCAAGACGAATGGGTAGCAATGCCTCAACAACTCATTAACACCCTCATTCTCAGCATGGGCAGACGCTGTGAAACCTGCCTAGCAGTCAGGGGAGATCATATCCCCTATTAAAGACCGGATGTTTCTTGCTGGACACCCATCACAGGGATGTTTCGACCTTCAGTCGCATTACGCTCCATGATACTTTTTCAATAAAGCTTCTTTTTATCCCTCTGATTTCTCTTTTAGTAAGTGTTGCTTACATTACTCATGTGCTTACGTATTGGGGAGCTTACGGTATTAAATGTGCTGATTTGGAAAGCTTTTGTACAAAGTTATATTGAAAAAACCGTCTTGTCCTTAATTTTTGCACACCAGTGTATTACTGGACAGACGCTACTGTGGCTCTTAGCTGGATACAACGAGAGAAAAACTGGGGAGTATTTGTGAATAATAGAGTAAAGGAGATTCGTAAACTCTCGAAACAGGAATGTTGGAGACATATCCCTGGAAAATTAAATCCGGCAGATGTGGCATCTCGTGAGTGTACGCCTGAACATTTGCGGCAATGCAATTGGTGGGAGGGCCCCGAATTTCTAAAAAGCTCTCTGAAAGAATGGACAGACTGAGTTTACTCCAGACGAAAATTCTGTTGCAGCAGAAATTAAGAAGGGAGTAATTGTCAATTTGAGTATAAAATTAGAAGATTCTGAGTGGTACAAACGTTTTTCGAGTTTTTCTAAAATAGTTCGAGTATTCTGCTGGGTTCTACGCTTTACTAATAAACTCCTAAAGAAGCCCTCGTATTCTTCGGATACCTTAACAATAGAAGAAAAAACTAAGGCTGAAACATTTTTGTGGAGTTTAGAGCAAACGAAGCACTTTCAAGAGAAAGGAGATTCCGTCCATGGATTGTTGGTAGTGAGAGAACAACGGAGTCCTCAGAGTTAAAACTAAAATAATTGAACGTGATGATGAATTCTGCTTCCTTTATTCCCTGTTGCTTCCGTCCAAGCATTATTTAACTGAATGCCTCATAAGAGAATATCATGAAAAGAACTGTCATGCGAGAGTGCAGATATTAGCTGCTAAGTTAAGAGAGCGATACTGGATCATTTCGTCGAAACATAATATAAGACCTTGCGTAAGTCGATGTGTAGTATGTAGGAGATTTACTGCTAAGGCTTTATCTACCCTCCGATCCACTTACCCCTTGACAGAATAAGAGATTCGGCAGTCTTTGAAACAACTGGAGTCGATCTTTATGGACCTTTACTTCTGAGACCAAAGAGTAAAGCTTGGATCGTCTTGTTCACCTGTGCCGTATACCGGGCAATTCATCTGGAGCCTATCACCTCTCTGAGTACCGAAACGTTTCTACAAGCTCTGAGACGGTTCATTGCCAGACGAGACCGTCCTGCGACAGTGTATTCACATAACGGAACCAATTTTACCGGAGCAGACAATGCTCTGAGATGCCTGGATTGGAGAAAAATCACAGAAAACGAGTGTTTTCCAATAAAATGGAAATTCAGCCCCCCTACGGCTGCGTGGTGCTGGGATGGTGGGAGCGCTTAGTTCGTTCCACCAAGACTCTTCTCGTCTGAATTCTAGGGAGATCGTCGGTGAATTTCGAGGAGTTAACTACTACTTGCTTTTATAGCCCTATTACTGGCGCTGTCATCGCATAACATTTGCATTTTTCTTTGATACCCGCGTTTTATGCTAATTCTGGTTATTGTAAGCTACAACGCCACAAAATGCCCTAGCGGCGATTTTTGGAACTAAAATGTTTTGTCAGGGAATCCTTTTTCCCATGTCTTGATTAGCCTAAATACCAAGTTTGGTGCCATTTCGGCTATTAGATCGCGATACAGGGCGCTCCAAACACTGTCACTTTAAAAAAGATCACCCTGTATATCCAGAAAAACATATATATCTTGAATTTTTAGCAAATTGATTGCATGAGATGTGCAGTAAACATTTGTTAAAGCATAATTTATATCCCCCTTCTTAACCACCACCATAACTACATAAAAATTATATAAAAATTCTACAATAAAATTAAAATTTTTTAAACAGTTTCTTACTCGATAGTTTGAATGATTCTTTTTCTGAAACATTGAAATATTATGATACTTTAGGAATCCTCTGAGAAAATGTGTCAGCAATCACATCGCAGCCATTTAACTTGTACAGCAAAGTTTTTGAGCTTCGTTTCAGGCATAGGATGATTTTTTAAGCAAGCATTTTATAAAGTGTTTCTTACTCGATAGATTGAATGAATCTTTTTCTGAAATTTTGAAATCTTGTGATACTTTGCGTTGTAAAGTGTTATAGTGAGTTAATTTATTGCTATTCTTGAAGGGCTTCTGGATACCCATTATTAAATGTTTTCCCATTGGGAGCAAAGATGTAAAGATTATCCTTTCTTCCCACTCTAGAATAACCAACTGGCCGTGTGAAAAACATGGACTTTGTTGGTTTAGCCGAACAAATTATAAAGACTGTCCTTACGCCTTGTTTATACTTATTGCAAAACTTAAAGATATTGGGAACTGAAGCCGTTTAAAATGAAATGGTACATCAGATGGTATAATGGGAATTCTTGGGATGAACACGTCTTTTCCTTTTGCATGACCAGTTAAAATAGTTGCTTCAATAACATTTTTCATGAGATTCTTGACAGATAATCTTGTACCATTGCAAAGTGAAGGGGGATCCACATTTCTCAACAGCATTATGGGTGCACCAACTTTCAACTCCAGTATATGCGAAGGTACTCCAGGCAGTTCCAAAGAATTCAAAAGTTCAGTTAGGTAATTTACAGCCTCATCTATAGAACTCATAGTATCAACTGACTTGTAAATTTTAACACTGCCTGGCAGCTGTCCTAAAAGTTGTTTATTAATGGCTCTCACTGTATCATTTTTTTGGTACAAGAGTGAATCTTTCACATAGCCAGCTGTGATCGGTGAAGTGCTGTCTTAAGTAAGGAAATATTGCAAGTAAAAGGTCTTGGTGGCTTTTCACGATGTTTCCAATACATTCCAGTGATATGCATTTATCTTTTTTATCTGGGGTGAAGAATCCATTTCCTAGTTTCAGCAAATTGTCAGCAAATTCTTGATCCGTAGTATCTCCATTAATCTGAACTCTCATATTAGTTCTAAGATGAAGTCTGGGAATTTCATTCCAAATATATGATGATTTTAAGCATGCATGCATTTGTTCAGCTCGTATCCCCCGTGGAACAACGGGTAGTGTCTGTCGAAAATCTCCGGCAAGTAACAGTGTAATGCCTCCCATTCTTCTGTTGTTATGTCTCAGGTCTTGCAAAATAACTTCAAGGGCTTTTATAAGACACTTTATAACACACTTTTATAAGACATTGTACATTCATCTCACACAATTAACTTGCACTCTTGTAGAATTTTACTTTGGAAGAATCTTCTTAGAAATATTAAATGTTAGTGTTTCGGTATTTTCCAGATTTAATGGCAATTTAAATGCTGAATGAGCTGTTCTTCCTCCCATTAGCAATGTAGCAGCAATTCCGGATGATGCAACAGCCAGCTTAATGTGTTTCTTAACTCGTACTTTTGCCAGCACAAGATTAATGAGGAATGTTTTCCCAGTACCACCTGGTGCATCAATAAAAAAAAAATATCACCACCTTGATTAGAAACTGCGGTCATAATTGTTTCAAATGCTTTCTTTTGAACTAAAACCAGTTTTTTTTTTCATGTTCTAAGCATTTTGTAAGTTCTTGCAAATTGTAACTCATTTCATGACAAATTTCACTGTGAATGGCCGATTCCAACATTTCGCTTTGGTTCAGGTAATCCGAATGAGTGCAAGTTTTGTCCACCTAAGAAGCGTCCTCAATCATGATAAGAGTTCTGTTGTAAATTTTTTCATTAAAAGCGAGATTCATATTATTCTGCTGAAGTCTTGATTGATGCAGTAAGTCTTCAGACAGGATATTCTTACGATATGACCAAAACTGATGAGGATTTGAAATGGCACACGTCTGTAACATAACAACAAACAGATTTCATAGCATTCTTGGGGACCAAGTCACAGTAGCTTCCAATGTTGCATTCCAGTGTTCATCATTTTCCAAAAGTCCTCTAACTTGGCAAGCTTCTTTATACGTTTTGCATACTCTTCCTTCCACTGTTCGCAATTCTTGAAGTGACTTGGGGCATTGAAATTCATGCAACAACAATCTTGGGTGAAAACATTCCGAGTTGTTTGGATGTACGGTATACACTCGACCGAGAGCGTTATTCGACTTGATTCCAGGATGATCAGGTACATTGTGTCCAATTTTACGCCTGTTCCCTTTCTTTGTTTGCATTGTTCCATGTATAGTACTTTGGCACTTAATGATACGGTAACGTACGTGCAAACTCATCTTCAATACAAAGGCGGAAGAAAGAGGTCAAAGTTGTTTCTTGAGGAGCTTGAGCCCATTCAATTGCATTAGCAGAAGTGAATTATACACGTTGTCCATTCTCAAGGTGGACACTTAAATAAATAACAGTCGGATAACGCTCGTGAATCGGAAAGTTCAGAATTCTCCACACAGCCTCATTGCTACTGATATATCTTTCCATTTCATATTGGTGAACTTCATTTATTTCATTTCCAGAAGTCCTTACATCGCAGAATTTCACTCTGCAGAAAAACTTTATTAGAAAAAAAGCAATAAAAATGTATTACATATATAAAAAAATACAATGAACTAAGCAGTATCCCTTAATACGAATATTAATTATCCTAATAAATTAATTAACCAACTTCCCTTTGCAAAATCTTAAGAACTCAAATGGTATAAAAAGGAGATTAAAAACTTTGTTTCCTAAAAAAAATCACTCAAAACTTTTCAGTATCTTAAAAACAGTGAAATGAGCAATAAATAACATAAAAGAATATAAAAAATCAAAAAATTCTGAAACTATAATTAATGATATTTTATCTTATATTTTCAAGAGAAAAAAATTATAATGAAATAAGCTATATCCCTTAATACAAATATTAATTATCCTAATAAAAATTAACCAACATTCCGTTGAAAAAAAAAAAAATCATGCAAAACTTTTTAAAATCTTACAAATAGTGAAATAAGCAAAAAAATAACATGGAAGAAACTCAAAAAACAAAAAATTCCGCGCAGAATTTTACTCTGCAGGACAACTTTATTAAAAGAATATCAATAAAAATGTATTATATACTATATATAAAAATGACAATGAAATATGCCAATCTCTTAAAAACAGTGACATAAGAAATACGATGAAAAATTGTTGCCAAACGCATATTTCTAAAAGAATGAAACTATTCAAAATGAGGCGATTTCATCAAAAATCTATCAACAACAATAAGGAAGAAAAATTGTTGCCAAAATCACATTTTTAAAAATGTGAGATGTGAGAAGTGTACTCGGAAGCTTCACTTAAAAATTTTTTTAAAAATTCAAAATATTATCATTTTTCCAAAATTCTTTTTGTAAAAGCAGTCGCAAGGATGAAAGTTTAACGTGTCCAAAAATCAAAGAAAAATAAACTGTACATTTTTAAAGATAAACTTTTTTAGAAAAAATCCCGTTGAAAAGGCGTTTAGCTCATTTTGTTAAATAAGTTCGTATTTAATCGATTTATTGAAACACGAAATTTATTTTAAGTTCGTAAAATAGCTAAGTGCCTACGTTTCATGACGATGTGAAAGTCGAGTGTGTAGAGTAAAATCTCGCTTTCCTATAGCCCATTATATCTGTTGCATCAGGTTCTTCTATATTTACAATAAAATTAATGTAAAATTCCTTACCTGCTGCATCTTCAGTGTTCTCTACGCCAGGCTTCTAATAATCACGTTTTCCAGTAAGAGTTTCTATTACAATTAGCAGGCCATCTTGTCTTTTAATTATTTATTCAAAGAAAACGCTAATATACACTATTTACAAGGTAGGTGATAATTATTTTAAGACAGTACATTTTTAATTCTGAGTCTTTACGCTCCTCAGAGCGGTTCCAATCTCGACTGGTTCTCGGAACTTAATTACAGCAAAAGTAAAGGAAGAGATGCCCGCCACCTAGTGGCAAGAATGTGACATCCTCCCACCTTTTGATTTTAACCTCGATAAGATGGGAAAATCAAAACAAAATTTATCAATAATCAAACAAAAATTCAAGTACAACTTTCACAAATATGAAAAGTAACTAATGCTCTAAAATTAATACTTACAAAGAAGGATTACACATCTAAACATTTTCTGCATTACATTCATACCATATCCAGATAACATGTTCCAATTGACTACTGTTAGGACAATTAAATTTCTAAAATACTGAAAAGAAACAAAAATTAGTATAGCAATTTAAAAATATGTAACAGGTTTTACAGTTTTACGTCCATATCTAGTTTGATAGTTCATATCACTGTCACACTTATCGGCAGAGTTTTTTCTGTTCATGGTGAAGTCACTAAACAAGTTAGGTCTATCAAGTTCGAGAGGATAAATACGTTTCACAGGTCTTAGGAGTTCACCCGTTGCAGTTTTCACTTTGACAACACGTACTTCGTTGTCTTTCCCAGGATATAGTTCTACAACACGACCTATTGGCCAATCTATTCTCTTCTTGTTGTCGCTGCCGACAAACACCAAGTCATTTTTGTTGATAGTCCGAGTAGATCGTTTAGGATGGTTTTTGCACTAGGATAGCTAAATATTCATCACGAAATCTTTTGCGAAAATGTTCTCTTAAGTTCTGCAAGAACTTGTATCTTTTTGTCAGATTGATGGTATCCAGGTAGTCTAAGTCTGGTACTCCGACGTCGTGCACATCTTGTAGAAACATTGAAGGAGTTAGTGCCGTAAGATCATTTGGATCTTCTGAAAGGTACGTAAGGGGTCTTGAGTTAATCACCTGATTCGATATCACAAAGTATAGTCAACATTTCCTCGTAAGAGACACAGGACTTTCCGAGAACATTTCTCAACATCTTCTTCACTGTTTGTACCAACCTCTCCCACCAACCGCCCCACCATGAAGCAGTTGGGGGATTAAACTTCCACTGTATTCTCATACTAGTTGAATGACATTCTATTTCTTTCCAATCTATCGATCTTAACAGATTTTCAGTTCCAACGAAATTAGTGCCATTGTCGCTGTAAATAATTACTTGGACGACCTCTTCTGGCAATAAATCTCCTTAATCCCAAGATGAACGCATTTGTTGATAAACTTTCTATCAGCTCAAGATGTATCGCGCGATAGACCTGCGCAAGTAAAGAGCAAGATCCATGCCTTTTTTCCTTTCTTAAATAAAGAGGACCGGCTACATCGACTCCGGTCACTTCAAACACCAGAGCATCTCGTAACTCGATCTTCAGGAAGAGGTGCTGGAACAGTCTCTATATTCTTTGCGCTATATCTTCTACAGCGAACACACTTCATAAGAACTTTACGTACTGTTTTTCTTCCTCTCAGGACCCAGAATTTCTGTCGAATATTGGCTAGTACGAATTGCACACCAGCGTGGGATAGTCGCAAATCGCAAATGGTAATCTAAAATTAACCTATGAACTAAGTCATGATTTGAGGGCAATACAATTGGACAGAGAAAATTTTCTTCTTCCTCTCTTCTAGTAATCTTGGTCTTTAACCGAATAAGGCCATCTGAGTCAAAAAGGTACAAAGATTTGCTAACTTTAAGTTCTTTGCCAAATGCTTCTATTTGTATTATCTTGCATATTTTCTTTTCTACAGTTTCTATTTCAGGGACCGTGAGTTCTCCTGATTGTTTAGAATCTGGTCTTCTGCAGTTGTTGATAAATCTGCATATCCAAGCAGTTATTCTTAACATTTTATGGTAAGATGAATATTTCTCAAAAAAATGTTCTACCCTTTGCGTATTTAGTGCAGAAATGACTGATTTCCTTTTTTCTGAATTCACTATTTCCATGTCCGGTATTTCCCTTTGTCTAGGCCATTCTTCCTGATTTTTCTTCAGCCAGTCGGGGCCCTCCCACCATCTAACTGCTAAAAGTTGTTTGGCGGTGCAACCTCTTGATGGGAGGTCAGCTGGATTTTTTTGTTCCAGCAATATGTTTCCACGTTTTTGGATCCGTCAGTTTCCTAATCTCCCTGACTCTGTTTTCCACAAAGACAGCCCAGACAATCTCTTCCCTTTGAATCCATGTCAAAACTGTTGTAGAATCCGTCCAAAAATGCGTTTCCACATTTTGCCATTGCAAACCATTTAAAACAGAAGAGCATAGTCTGGCACCTATCGTGGCAGCT